GCATCTTGGGCTCCAGGGAGCTGTCGGCCTCCTTGGCCCCGGAACACCGGGACTGGCTTTGGAGGGGCTCATGTCCTGCCAAGGACGGTAGGTCCCCGGTGGCAGGGCTGCTCTGGAGTGGCCGTCCCCTGGGGACCTGTGAGGAGCCCGAGGAGCCCCAACCCCGATGAGGCAAGAGGAATGCTCTTGGTTTGCAGGTCCCAGAGCAGGACCCTGGGCGGCGGTACCACTGCCCTTCCCGCTGGCAGATCCAGGGAGGTGCCGGCTGGTTTCTGGGGGCTGCCTGGAGGAGTGTCCTTCCCTTCGCTTTGGGGACTTGGGGCGGGACTGGGAGCTCCGGGCTGACGGCTCCCATGCTCCTTCCCTCCTTCCGGTTGCAGGCAGACTCCCCGGGCGCGGAGCCAAGCGCACCCCTGTCTGGGAGAAAGCCACCCCTGAGTTCTTGCTCCAACACCAGCCAATTCAGTTCCTTTGCATATGTCCCTGGATCCCCTCAAGCTGCTGTCCCAGCACTGGATCTCAGAGGCAGCAAGTTTGAGTAAGTTTGTGCACCAGTCCTTTAAGTGGAACTGCCTTGGTCTCCAACAGCCTCTGTGTCCCTCAGCCATAATCTCTGCTTGCTTTTACAGCCCAAAGTAATGGGTACTTCTCTTATCAGCTCTGAACACCAGGCTGGGTGTTTGTTGTGGGGCTGGGACCCTTTGCTCCTCACAGGAGCCTCCACAGCCAAGATATTCCTCCTGACTAAAAAAACAAAAACAAAAACAAAAACCAAAAAAAACAAAACAAAACCACCAAAAAACAACAAAAACACCACACATGGTCTGTTCCATATCTCTGCCCCACCTACTAGTCTTTCTTCTTTACTTTTCTAGTTGTAGGACTTTCAGCCAGATTTCGGGTGGTTATTTCATGTTAGTTGTTCTGTATTTTAATCATAAATTTGATGTGGTTGTGGGAGGTGATGAGTAAGCCACCTATGCCACCATCTTGGTTCTCTCCACATGCCGTCTCTTGCACATTCCTCATTGATGTTTCTCACTGAGCCACACTGGCCAGGCCAAACTCTTGACATTTTTAGTTTTGGCCTTCTGCAGCATCAGGTACATGGACCTTGGACCAGTAACACACCTGTACACATTCCTTCCCAGTTGTGGGACAGGATTATTTAGATAATCCAGACACTGGAGTCGCAAAGCTGACTGGTGGGTCCCTTTGCAGTGCCCACCACTGTGCACATGCAGAGTGCCCCGAATATGAAGCTACATGTCCTTAAGGAGGTGTCCACCAGCTTTGAATAAAATCCCAAGAACCAAGGCCACGTTGGTCTTCTAGTTCCTAATTGTGTAATTTCCTTGGCTGCCTCAAATTGCAGCTTGTCAAAGTGAACAAGGCCTGGTAGGCTGCAGCCAGCACAGAGGGGCCACAGGGGCAATGAGAAAGATGCCTAGATTTGGGGTTCGATTTCCTGGAACGGTGCAGGTGGGAGGCAGCTTGAGCGAGTCTCATGGCAAGGCTGAGAGCTGGCCGCACCCTAGAACACAGAGGGCAGGCATGGAAGCCCTGTCTTTCGAACACTCGTTCCCGACCTTGCCCAGTGCATCCCTTCCTTTTCTGCTGTTCCTTGGTTGTATCAATGAACACCATAAGGATGACACTTTCAGTGAGTTACTGGAAGTCATTGTAGTGAATAATCAAACCTGAGGGGTCTTTAGAACCCCCATTTGTGGCCATCTCAGCATTAGTCTGTATGGTCCCCAAGACACCTAACTGGCATTTGAAGTGGGGTCCAGTGTTCTCCCAGATCATTAGTGTCAGACTACAGGCTGTGCTTGGCACCTGGCCAAGCTGGCTTCTAAAGTCCTGCTCTGGCAGGAGCCAGTGCCTCTTAGGAAGACAGACCGGACAAGGTATGCCTTATATGTCACATAACAAGGTCCTGTTTTCAGGCTTTGTAAACAGGAACACAATGATGACTAGTAGTGGGGAAAGTGTTGAGAGATGCACCAGGTATCTCCTCCTGACAACATGGGTCTGCATTCACCCTCTTTGAGCCCCAAGACTGCCCACCAGCCACAGGCTGACTTTGTTATAAGACAGAGTGTGTAAGCCAGAGGTCTCTGCTATCAACAGCAGCAGCTACGTGAAAATCCCCACAGGATGGAAGACTGCCATAAGAACGTTGGGGCCCCTGGTCCTATATTGGTGGCCATCTTTATTTATTTATATTTTTATTGATTTCCAAGAGGAAGGAAGAGGAAGAGATAGAAACACTAATGATGTGAATCAGTGATCAGCTGCCTCCTGCACCCCCCCACTGGGGATCAAGACCATGACCTGGGCATTGGAATCGAACATTGATTGGAATCGAACCTGGGACCCTTCAGTTTGCAGGCCAACACTCTATCCACTGAGCAAAGAAGCTAGGCCTTAGTGGCCATCTTTGCTGGAGCACCTAGTTTCTGTGCAAATCTGGTGAATGTACATCTGTTCAGCCTTTTGGCTTCTTGAGCACAGATGGTTAGCGAAGCCTTTAGATTAGGGGTGTCGAACTCAATCAGAGAAGGGGACAAAATCTAAAACCCAGCCTAAATCGCGGGCCGAATGGTTTACTGAACAGTCATAAACTGTCATTGTGATGGAAACGCAGCGGAGTGCAGTGATGACAGCACGGTGCGGGCCACATTGCAAGGCCTGGCGGGACGGATTTGGCCCGTGGGCCTTGTGTTTGACACATGTGCTTTAGATCATGGCCACAGAGTGTCATCCTAATACTAGCCAAACCATTTTAGAAAAATGGGAATAACCAAAAGGGAGACCAAGATAAATATGGTTTACCTATCCTCAGCACCACGCCCTCCCCCAACTGGGTGGGTCAATTTTGCTGAAAATGGAAAGTGCTGGTAAAATTTCTGCAAGTTTATACTCTTTCTCAACTTTTTTCTGGGAAACACTTTCAAAGGGACCCCAGCTTAATTTGGACGGAGTAGACTTACCCTGACTCTTCAGATGTGCCTTTTCTGGCCTGCAACATTTCCCAGGCAATTGTCACAGCCCCTCCATATTTTCACAAGATGTGGCAACATAAGTTATCATCAAATCCCCTACGTTACACTCTGAACTCTGCTTTTGGCAGAAAAGGGAAAACCATCTTTGGAGAAAAGTGACATAGACCAATCTCCAAGGTAGGCGTGGACTCATACCTTCTTACCACTGGTACCATCACTCAGCTAGGGAGAGGATATAGGACAATGGTGAGGTCAGGTTAACCAGCTGTAGTGACACCAAGAGTACAAAATACCCCTGGTATAGTGACTTCCTCTGTCCTTTGGACAGGGGCCAGATCAGGTGAGCAGGCCATCTATTTGAGGCCTAAATGTGCCACAAGGTGGAGTCTGACACCCAGAGGACTACTTTCAGCATCCTTATTCCTCAAGCTCACTTTGTCAGGTCAATCGACTATTTCAACTGTAGTGCACATTACTTTTTAAACTACTAAATGGAAAGTGTAATGTGAATATTAATTAATTCAGCAAGTTAATTTTTATGCACCTAGGAGTTTGTGGAAACAATGTCCAGAGACCCAAGGAACAGGGAGGGCAGATGCTTCTCGGATGTGGGGCCTGTACTTCCATGGTAAGGTGGAGATGTAGCGCACTGCCTGCCCATCCCCCAGGGAGGGAGCCAGTGGTCAGTTCTCCGGTGTCTGGAGGAGCAAGTAACCCCACGGGCCTCTTGAAATGGTTTGAACTGGGATTTGAACTCCATCACCCTGGAGGGCTTCTGAATCCTGAGTGACTGACCTTCCAATTAGGTAGGTACTAGGTATAGGGGGTCAGTGAGTGGGGGTTTCTCCACAGTATTTGGTGGGGTCTCAAGAAACAGTTACAGCCCATTGATGTTTTTCTTAATTTAGGATCTAGTTTTACAGGTAAGACACAACAGTGAGTGGGGCAATGTTCCTCCATTTCACAAATGTCTGAAGCAGATCGGGAACCACTTTCCAGCTGACAAGCCCTTGAGCGAGAGTACATGAGGGTAGGGCAAATGTATATCCTGGCCTCTATTTGGAATTTCCTCCTCAATAGCCTTAAAGATTCACTTTCCCCCTTTTCCTGGCAGATCAATAAGAGGCCAATTATTTAGAAATGGAGAGCCCCAATATTTATTTTTTGTTCAGGGTATGACCTGACAGTTTTTATTTATTGCATTTACTGCTCCTCGGGATGCAGGGGTGTCTACACAGGCACAATAATCAGAATTATAAAACCATTGGATTTGATGGCATCTCGTGTGGCAACAGAAGTGACAAGGGACCTGGCTGCCTGCTGATGGACATACAAATAACACAAAATGTCCATCTGTGCTCTCCCCACATTGAGCCTGGCTGATGTTACCAGTCTTCCAGGAACAATAACACCATGGTTTTCGCTGCTTGAGATTGCACAGCCAACGGTCACTCCCAATCCAGAACTCCAGGCCACGCACTTTCAAAGCTATGCTGCTTCCAGTGGATGGACAGCAAACCAACTGCAGCTTCTGTTGACTCATCTGTTAATCAGGGATGACCAGATAATTGCAAGACTATCTGCTGTTGTGGATTGAATGGTCTCCCCATCACCCCAGATTCATATTTACGTCCTAACCCCAATACATCAGAATGAGGCCTTTCCTAGAAATATGGTCATTGTGGATGTTACTAATTAAGATAGGAACATACCAGAATAGGCATGGGGGCCCTGATCCAATATGGTGTCTGTATAAAAAGGGGAAATTTGGAGACAGGCAGTACACAGGGACACCACATGAAGGTGAAGGCAGAGACGGGGTAATATTTCTATAAGGAACATCATCAACCGCCAGCACCACCAGAAGCTGGGGGAGAGGTGTGGAACAGAGCTTCCCTTCTAGGAAACTAGCACACTGACCCCGTGACATTGGACTTCCAGCCTCCAAAACTGAGGCAATAGGTTTCTGTTGCTCTAAGTCACCCTGTTTTCGGTGTTTTGTTAAGGCAGCCCTAGCAAATGAATATGAACAGCAGACTCAGTTACTAGGTATGGAGAGCCCAAGCTCACAGGAGGTCGTTTCCACTGCCCCTCATCCAGACAACAGAACCCCCCCTGGGGCTGGCTGAGCTCCACACTCCCGGACACACTGGGGCAGGCAGGGGAACTTAAGTGCCTTTCGAAGGATGACAACCTCTTCTACCCCACAACCATCTACCGGGGCCTTTAGGTACCAAGGAATGACATTTGAGCAGAGTGTGCAACAATTTAAAATGTGGGTATGGCCCTCAGTGAACTCTAATAAGCAGCTGCCATGGTAAATAAAAGGATGGCACAGTTCCCTCCGCGGGCTGCCCAGAACAGCGGTGCTCTCTGGGTCAGCTGGTGACACTGCGGGATTGGTGTGCCTGGCCTTGCTGCCCACATGCACTCCCTGCCTTTTTCTAGCCATTACCGCGCCCACAGCTTCTTGCTCTCAGCTGGGAAGTACAGTTACCCTGGGACCTCCAGACAGGGGCAGGGGTCCAGACAAGGCAGCATGGCAGTGTAGTGAGTTGGTGGCAAGGGACAGACCCCAAATGGTCACTGCATTGGGGCAGTCCGGTCCCTCAGGCCGCCTGGGAAGCACTGGACGGGGCTCTCTTCTGACCCAGAAAGGCCGGGCGGGTCCACGCTGCTTATGCACCTCCCTCCCTGCTTTTTGGCACAGCAGAGACCAAAGAAATGCTCCGTTGATCACTATCTCGTTTCTACCTGAGAGCGAAGGGGGGGAAGGTGAGGTCTGCCCGGGAGCGGTCAGTAGGAGTTGAGGGCCTGCTTGGAGCGGCGCTTCATGTGCAGGCGCTGGTGGCGCAGGAGGTCGGAGTTGTGCAGGAAGCTTTTGACGCAGTAGCGGCACCGGAAGGGCCGCGCCCGGTCCTTGGAGTGCACGATGCTGCGGTGCCTGGCCAGGTGGTCCGGCCGCTGGAACAGCTTCCCGCAGTCACAGCACCGGATGCTCACCTGGGCCCGGCCCTCGGCCGGCGGGGCATCGGGCTCCCCGCCGGGGGACTCCGCCGCCCCCTGCTCGCTCCCGATCGCGGGCTGGGGCTCGGTCGGTTCGGTGTGGACCCGCGTGTGGCAGAGCAGGTGCGAGTTGAGGCGGAAGCTCTTCCCGCAGGCGCCGCAGCGGAAGGGTTTCTGGGCCTCGTGGGCCTCCAGGTGCCCGTCCAGGTCCTCGCTGTCACTGAACAGCTCCCCGCACACCGAGCACTCGTGCAGCTTCTCCCGCTCCCTGCGGCTGCGCAGGTGCCGGATGAAGTTGACTCTCCAGCGGAAGACCTTGCCGCAGTTGGGGCACACGTAGGACTTCCCGGAGGGGTGCACCTCGCCCCCCGCCGAGAGGCCATTCTGCTGGGGCACGGGGGTGCCGTTTTGCTTCCCCAGGGGGCTCCGTGTCTCCTCTGTGCAGTAGGGGCCCAGCTGGGAGTCCTCATCCCCAGAGCTGGACAGGACAATCTCGATGGTCACCTCCTCATCCAGGCTGCTCTTAGGGGGCAGCGGGTCACCTCCGGCTGCAGGAAAGCAATGTGGCCACTTAGGAGTGGATGACGGAACAGGTACGACGTTGGGGGTTATGGGGGAAGAGTGAATGCATTTTGAATGTGAGGACATGAACTTAGGGGACCAGAGGGCGGAGTGCTAAGGGCAGAAGTGCATCCCCTAAAAATTCCTATTATGCTTAAGTCATAACTCCAAATACCTCAGGATGTGACTATCTTTGGAATTAAGGCCTTTCAAGAGTTAAGTTAAAACGAGATCACTGGAGTGGCTTGTAAGCCGACAGGCATCCTTCCAAGAAGATATTAGGACACAGGCATGTGGAAGCTCAGGGAGAAGACAGCCAGCTACTGGCCAAGAGGACTTGCTGCAGGAGAAGCCGCTCCTGATACTAGACCTCAGACTTCTAGCATTTTGAGAAAACCAATTTCTGTTGTTTGAGCCTCCTTAGGAGACTAATACAGTGCATACAGGATGACAACCCCTCAAATCAGCTAAAGTGACAAAAAATAAATGCAATTTCTAAAAGGGAGCCTGTGGGCCACAGTGCTCCTGTGGGCCAATTACACAATGTTAGGAGTTGTTACTAGATGAGATGGGATTTAGCAGTGTGCCCTAAACACCAGAGAAACAGTGAAATCAGGGAGTGATGACTATAGAAAGAGGTGTGTGTGTGGGGGGGGGGGGGTGGGTGTGTGGGGGGGGGGAGGTACTCCTATGTTTTCATTCTGCCCCTGGGGCTCCTGAGCAGAAGTCGCTGACCCAGGGTCCACCGTGATAGGTCATGGGTGTCAGCCTGAGGGTCTGAAGGTGGGCTGTCAGGCCCCAGGTCTGGGCTTGACTCCACATTGCCAAGCCATCATAGCTTGCCTTTTCTATGAAGTCAAAGTTATGGGTCTGAATCTGTTGCCTCTTATTTGCACATAATCCCTCCTGTTTTCCTTTCCTTTCCTTTTTTTTTTAAAAAAAAATTTTTTTTAATTTTATGTATATTGTTTCAGCACATTTGTTTTTCAGTTTTAAAATACAACGCATTTATTAATCTCTTTTTGGTTTTATATCTTACAAGAAAGCTTCCCCATCCTAACATCATAAGAATATCCTATTTAATAAAAGACTAATATGCAAATTAACCATCACTCTGCTACACCCACCAGCCACTCAAGAACAAATATGCAAATAAACCCAACCAAGATGGCTACGGCCACAGAAAGCAGGAGGGTAGCTTGGGTTTCCCCGGCAATGGAAGAAGCCAAGCTTTTCGCCTGCACTTGCTGGCCTAGGCCTCCACTCAAGGCTACAAAGTTTCAATGATAGAAGATACATAAATCCAAACAGAAATGGCGGCAGCCTAAGAGGAACTGGAAAGAGGAGGCGGCTAGGGTTTCCCCTGGCGATAGAGGAAGCCAAGCTTTCTGCACACCCTGGCAGGCCCAGGCCTCCGATTGGGTTGCCAGGGGATGTGGTCGGCCTGCAAACCACCACAGGCCCCTTGATCAGGCCACTCCATGCCCCAAGGGAACCCCCACCCTGATCCAGGACACCCTTCAGGACAAACCAGCTGGCCCCCACCCATGTACCAGGCCTCTATTCTATCTAATAAAAGAGTAATATGCAGATTGGCCATCACTCCAACACACAAGATGGCTACCCCCATGTGGACACAAAGATGGCCACCACAAGATGGCCAGCAGGGGAGGGCATTTGGGAGGGACCAGGCCTGCAAGGGAAGGCAGTTGTGGGCGATCAGCCCAGCAAGGAGGGCAGTTGAGGGGGACCAGGCCTGCAGGGGAGGACAGTTAGGGGTGACCAAGCTAGCAAAGGGAAGTTGGGAGTGACCAGGCCTGCAGGGAAGGGCAGTTGGGAGGGACCTAGGCCTGCAGGGGAGAGCAATTGGGGGTGACCAGGCCTGCAGGGGAGGGCAGTTAGGGTTGACTAGGCCTGCAGGGAAGGGCAGTTAGGGGCAAACAGGCTGGCAGCGGAGTGGTTAGGAGGTGATCAGGCTGGCAGAAGTGGTTAGGGGCAATCAGGAAGGCAGGCAAGTAAGCAGCTGGGATCCAGCAGTCCTGGACTGTGAGAGGGCAGTCAGACATTCCTCGAGGGGGTCCCAGATTGGAGAGTGTGCAGGCTGGGCTGAGAGACACCCCCAACCCCATGCACGAATTTCGTGCACCAGGCCCCTAGTATTTTTTTTTTAAATATATATTTTATTGATTTTTTACAGAGAGGAAGAGAGAGGGACAGAGAGCTAGGAACATCGATGAGAGAGAATCATCGATCAGCTGCCTCCTGCACACCCCCTACTGGGGATGTGCCAGCAACCAAGGTTCAACCCTAACTGCCCTCCCCTGCAGGCCTGGTCACCCCCAATTGCATTTGACCGGAATCGAACCCGGGACCTTTCAGTGCGCAGGCCGATGCTCTATCCACTGAGCCAAACCGGTTTCGGCTCTAGTATTCTTTATAATGCCTTAGTCTTTTGTTTTTCAAATCTGGCTTCCTAGCCTCCCTGCGTCTCTCCTCAGTCCCTCCAGCTCACAGGGAACCATCCATCATCCGTCCCCAGGCCACACAGCATGGCCACAGACTTCAGTATCACCAATCCACTGATTGAGCTCAATTCCCCTGACATGTTAGGCAACTTTCTCTTTCTCCTTTAAATTTTTTTCTGTAAAATAGAGAATCAAGTTGTCTTTTGGGGTTATGGTTGAGGATTACACATGATTTAATACATATGTAGGCACCCATTCTGTATATCATGAGGCTGCTATGGGCAGGCAGAGGCCAGAGAAGGCCAGAAGTGCACATGTGGCAACAAGCATTCATCTAGCCCCACTGAAATGGCCACCCTCATCTGGGGGAGGGGCCATCCTCAGCTACGCATGGCCACTCTCAGCCTGTTGCATGCACCTGAGAAAACCAGGGGTAAGGGAGCTCAAAGTTTCTCCTTCTGGATCTGCTGTAAACGTAAAACCTCTTTGTCTACACATGACGAGTAAACAGAAATAGCAGGGAGCCCTGCACAGAGCTAGGTGGAATTACCACAATGCCAGACAACTCTTTTTTCCCCTCCCTGAATCTTGGCTTCACCCCAGAATCATCTGGAGAATTCTTTTTTATTTTTTAAATTCTTTATTGTTGGAAGTATTATGTATGTCTTTCTCTGGGTAGCTTATTTCACTTAGCATGATACTCTCCAGGTTCCTCCATGCTGTCTCAAAGGGTAAAAGATTCTTCTTTTTTACAGCTGCATAGCATTCCATGGTATAAATGCACCACACCTTTTGTTATCCACTCATCTACTGATGGGCACTTGGGCTGTTTCCAGATCTTAGCTATTGTAAATAGTGCTGCTAGGAACACATGGTGCATGTAATTCTTTGCCAGACAACTCTTGCTCCAAAAGATATCTCGGGTAAAAGACTGTACGTTAATCAGTCCCCACAGCTGTGGAAAGTCTCCATCACACAGTGGGTGTAAGTACTATGAACCAGAGACTAATATAATATTGTATGTCAACTGGAATTTTAAAAAAGAACAAAAGAAAACAAAAAAGGACCAGAGACTCAGGTACGGTGTCTAGAACAATAACTTAACCCCAAGGACATTAAAGATGGCCACAATGCCCAGCTGGTGTGGCTCAGTGAACATCAGCCCATGAACCAAGAGGTCACAGGTTCGATTCCTGGTCAGGGCACATGCCTGGATTGTGGGTTTGATCCCCAGTATGAGGTGTGCAGGAGGCAGCCTATTGTCTATCCCTCTTACTTAAAAGATTCCTCTTTCTCTAAAGATGAATAAAAACATATTTTTAAAAAATGACAGCCACATTTCAGTCTTTGCCTCTGGAGGTGGTGACTTTTACCAACATGTGGAGGCAGGTGGAGGACACCCCAGAGTCTCTTTTGCAGGCATGCCACACTCCTGCTCTTTAGGTCCAAGGCTTTGCCCAGGACTCTGGCTTCTGTGCTCAGGGAAGAAACACACCCCTAATGGCCAGTAGCGCTGTGGAGTACCTGCTTCAACCTGCCAGGGTGAGACCAGGAGGGGAGGGTCTTGGGCGGGAGCTCAGCTGGGAGACCCCAGCAAAATGGAACCCAGCACAGTAAGCTGACAACTCACAGGAGTGGCTGGTCAGCAAGGACCTCGAGAGTTCAATCCCTGACCCTACCGCACCAGCAAACGTGCATGCACACACCATACACATTCCCACTTCAACACACCAGACACCATACACACAAAACATGCACATACCACAGCAGATACCACATGTACACATACCACGTGCACACATATGCTCACATATGTATCATACACCCCAGACTCTTTACCTGGGCAGGTGCTCTGAGCAAGTGTCGTCTGCTCGCAGGCCTGGAACTCTGGTCCCTGTAGCTCATCATGTTTTCCTCTTTCTTCGGCCTGGAATGGCTGGACACTTGGAGCGTCTTTCCAGAGAAGAAAATGGAAAGGTGGTTTTGTCATGCAGCTGTGGCACTACCTGGGGAGGCATCCATGAACCAAGGGCAGCACTGAACTCCCTTCTCGGGCAGCCACTCAGTCAATGTTTGTGGAGCAGATGAATTTGTAGGCAAAAAGACTGTGAAGCTATATGGAGTTAGCACGAGTCCTGAATCGGCCTGTCCACTTGCCTGTGAAGAAGTGGCCGCCACCCTATGGTCATTCCACTTCTGTGGTGGGATTCCCACAGGCCCCGGGCCCCTCGCAGACCCTGCATAAACAGTCTGCAGAGCCTGCGGGGCTGCCAGCACAGGGAGCTGGTCCCCGTGAGGCCCTGCGTGCTCGTCCAGGTGGGAATGGAGACCCACACGTGACTGCATTGTGCCAGCTCTGAAGAGGAAGGAGTGGGGGCTGCTGTTGAAACCATACAAAGCCTTTAGTCCTGAAGGAGCAGTGTCTCAGGCGTCATGGCAAGTGGTTAACAACTTACACCAAGCCCAGATGGGGGAGTGGGAAATGCTGCCGCCAATGCTGTGCTGTTGTAGGCCAAGGCCCAGCACCCGTGCCTTAGTTTCCCCACTATTAGCCTGTGGTGAAAGGACTAGAGAAGGAGACACCTGGAGGTCCTGCACTGGTGCTCCTTCTCCACCTGACTTCTGGAGGATGGCCTCACCTGTGGGGGCGCTGCTGGCCTGTCAGCACAGCCCAGGCGCTGTTTATAGCAGAGAAGGACGTACCCACTGTGTCCTAGTCCCTGGCTGATGAGTGTTACCCCACACCCTGTCCTAGTCCCTGGCTGATGAGTGTTACCCCACACCCTATCCTAGTCCCTGGCTGATGAGTGTGACCCCACACCTGCAAAAAAAAATAAACCTTCATTCTTTCTGGGAGAAGTCATGGAGGAGGCAAAACATGCTCTACTGAGACAAGAGCCTGGGGTTGCAGAGGGCTGGCAGGGAGCGGCCCACCTCTGGTCAGCACCACCTACCACCCTACTCTGTCCCCCCAGTGGTGGAACCATGACTCACCCAAGTAGGAGACCTGGGCAGCACCCTTGCCCTGGACGTCCTGCAGCTCGGGAACACACGGCTCGTTCTCCTCACCCTGAGAGAGGTCCTGCTGGGCTGCTGGGTCATCTGTTCACAGAAAAGGGGGAGACACACATTCCTCAGTGACCTGGAGGGACACAGGCCAACCCATGGCAGTGACAGGGCCATTCAGGGCTACAGAGAGGCTTGAGCAAGCAGAGGGCGGGGAAGGGCACACTAGTGGGGGAGCTGTGGGCTTGGGGCAGCTGTCAGGCCCACGAGGTAGAAACCCTGAGCTTCAGAAGCCATAGGATCAGAATGATCGAAGGAAAGTGGGTGCACGGGAAGCTGTTATGTTTGGTTACGAATGCAGAACAGCCAGTAGGCCTGGTTTACATGTGATGGCGGCAGGGGAGGATGCCTCTACTAAGAGTCGCTGTGTGCAGGTGACCTCACGTTAGGGATGGAGGGTGGTCGGCAAATTCAGATGTGGGCCCCCAGCTCCCCGGTCTCAGGAGAGGGTGGAAGGACGTCTTACCTGGAGGCAGTGAAACCCCACAGTCCTCTCCAATGATGAACTCCCCGTAGAAGCCAGTCTGGGCAGGGTCTAGAAGGGACCAGTCCTCTTGCGAGAAACAGAAGATCACGTCCTCCAAAGGAAAAACCCGTTTCTGAAACCACAGAACAGGGACGCCTCAGTCCAAGGACAAGCTAGGGAGGGTCGCTGCAAAGAAGGGAGTGAGGTGGGGCTGAGGACACACCCTGTCCCATGTGTGCACGGAAGGGAGAGAGCAGAGGCTGCCCTAGCTCTCACCTGGGATCCACCTCCTTCCTATCTAGTTTCGCCGAACGCAAACCATGGGGACTCTGGTGGCCAAGGTTGTGGGCAGGGCACACAGTCCCAGGCAGCTAATGAAGACCGAGACACCACTAGGTTCTGTCCAGCAAACACCACGCCATTTCTAGAGCTGTCATCCCAAGTTCTCACTGCAGAGATTCACCCCGATATCGACTAGTTAATTCTCTTGTATTCAAATTTCTGCTTTAACTTGGCCTGCCATTCCACTTTTTCCTGTGCACAGCCTACAAAAATGACTTTCCCACTGATTTCTTCTCCATTCATCTCTTCCACAGCCGTATCCTCATATGCGTGCATTCTAAAATTTATTCTTATTTACTTCAGAGAGGAAGGGGGAGAGAAGCATTAATGATGAAAAAGAATCATTGGTCAGCTGCCTCCTGTGTGCCTCCCACTGGGGTTCAAGCCTGCAACCTGAGCATGTGCCTTTTACCGAATCAAACCAGGACCCTACGTAGACCAATACTCTATCCATTGAGCCAAACCAACTAGCGCTATCCTCATTGTGTGTTTGTTTTTTTAAACTCACAAAGCCAAAGCCTTTGGATTTCCCATTGGGATCTCTCATCACCGTGACACCTAGGGTCTTTCCAAATTGGCTGAATAGCTTCTTCAGTCTCTCATCACCCATCTACCTCTTCCCCAAAGTTTTTGATATACATCTTAGTGAACTCCTTTGCTTTGCCCCCAAGTTTGGCTTCCCACTCTTTTTGAGACTTGAATCTGCCCACAGACACTTTGTTGTCATTGAGGAGCGTGCTGTTCATCTTCTCGGTGGCTTTGTCTGCAGCCTCTTGGGTCATGAAGTGAATGAAAGCATCACCCTCAGAGCCATTCTTGTCACACACCACCTTGCAGGTCAGGATGTTCCCAAAAGTAGAAAAAGTATCATAATGTGCCTTGTTATCTATAGATTTTTTTCCAGGTTCTTAATGGAGACATTTTCCGCACCAGCTTTTCTCAAAAAGGGATCCCTTTGAGATTCCATGATGCAAACTGGCTTTCCCTCAATCACGACAAGTTCACAGGATCCCGGGCCCGCTCAGCACCAGCATAACTCAGTGAGCGGAGGTGGTTCCGTCGTGCAGACCCGGATGGAAGCCCAGGCCCCGCAGGCTGAACTTCTCATGCAGCACATCCCAGTGCAAGTCACCCACACACAGGGAGGCCCCGGGGTAGCTGCTGGCGGCAGCGGTCATCTCCCCAGTCCCTGTGGCCCCAAGCCCTGCCAGGACTTCTTATAAGCACCATTCAAGACAAAAGGGGTTCTTCCCCAGTCGGCGTGCAACCTGCTCACGGGTGGCAGGGCAGGAGGGACCCAGGAGTCCTGGGCGGCTCATTCGAGAGACTGCAGGGCTGCAGACAAAGGCTCTCAAAAACAATATGGCCTTCCCCACGAGCTTGTCATTTTCAGCTCCAAATTTCCAAATAAATGTATTAAAATAGGGACTTTCCTCCAAATTACAAAAATTCTTAAAGAGCCAGCCAAAGAATACCCACACGGCCTCTGGGATACATGTTTCTCTTCAAATACAGGCCTCGGGCTGCTGGCAGTTTAAGATTACAGCTGGGGAAGAGGGATGCAAAGTATTTGTCAGCATGTAAGTCTGGGGGGCCGCGTGCACAGCCGCCTTCACGCGGGCCGCCACGGGCAGCCGGACACATGGTGCTCGGGGAGGACGGTGCGGGGCTGCCGCGAGGCGCGGGCGCAGGGACAGCCCGGCTCACCACCCACGCCTGGGTGCCATGGAGGCGGCTGGCAGGCCAGAAGTGTGCACAAGTGACTTTCCCGTAGGTTCCAGGAGGATTCGATTTTTCTTCTCTCCACACACCACCCCCCACCCCCCACCCCCCGCCCCCAGATTTTAAAGCGTTTTTGAGTGTTTTAAAAATATATTTTATTGATTTTTTACAGAGAGGGATAGAGAGTTAGAAACATCGATGAGAGAGACATCGATCAGCTGCCTCTTGCACACCCCTACTGTGGATGTGCCCGCAACCAAGGTACATGCCCTTGACCGGAATTGAACCCGGGACCTTTCAGTCCGCAGACTGACGCTCTATCCACTGAGCCAAACCGGTTTTGGCATAAGGTTTTGTTTTGAATGTTTTCTCTTTTTTCCCCCCCGAGGCCAAACGAAAGCAGCAGAGGCTGCAGCAACGCTGGGTGGAGAGCTTAAAATATATTTATATTGATTTCAGAGAGGAAGGAAGAGGGAGAGAGGTAGAAACATCAATGATAAGAGAGAATCAGGTTTTTTTCTTGATGATCTGGCTACCGGTTCATCAATATTGTTTATCCTTCCAAAGGTTCTGCTCTTGCTTCCATTGATTTTTTGTATTGTTTCTTAGTCTCTCTGTCATTTATTTCTGTTCTAATCTTTATTATTTCCTTCCTTCTACTTACTCTGGGCTTTATTTGTTCTCTTTCTAAATTCTTTAAGTTGTAGGGTTAAATAGTTTATTATTAATTTTTCTTGTTTTTTGAGGTAGGCCTGTGGTTCTATGAACTTCCCTCTCGGGACTGCTTTTGCTATATCATAGAGATGTTGTGTTATTGTGTGTCCATTTTCATTGGTTCCAGGAAAGAAACAAAGAGAGAGAACCCAAATAAATAAAATCGGAAAGGAAAAACAGTGAAGTAACAACTAACATCACAGAAATACAAAGGATTGTAAGAATATACTATGGAAAACTACATGCATACAAGCCAGACAATGTGGATGTAAGAGATAAATTCCTTGAAAAATATAATCTCTCAAAACTGAATCAGGAAGAATCAGAAAACCTGAATAGGCCAATAACAACTGAAGAAATAGAAGCAGTGAACAAAAAGCTCCTAGCAAAGAAAATCCCTGGTCCAGGTGGCTTCACAGGGCAGTTTTACCAAACGGTCAAAGAAGAACTAACACCTATCCTCCCAAACTATTCCAAAAATCCAAGAGGAAGGAACACTTCCAAACTCTTTTTATGAGGCCAGCATCATCCTAATTCCAAAGCCAAATAAAGACACTACAAAGAAAAAGAAGTACAGGCCAATATCCCTCATGAACATAGATGCTAAAATCCTCAACAAAATATTAGCAAATCAGATCCAGCAATATATTAAAAAAGTCATACAAGATGACCAAATGGGAATGCAAGCCTGCTACAATATTCACAAATCAAAAACCTGATACATCACATAAACAAACTGAAAGACAAAAATCACATGATCATATCAACAGATGCAGAAAAATAATCCAACACCTACTTTTGATAAAAAATATCTCAGCAATGTGGGAATAGAGGAATCATATCTCAACACAATAAAAGATATATATGACAAACTTATAGCAAATATCATACTCAATAGGCAAAACCTAAAACCATTTCCCCTAAAGACAGGGACAAGACAGGGATTTTCTTTCACCACTCTTATTCATCACTAGAGGCCTGGTGCAGGAAATTTGTGCACGAGAGGGTGAGGGGGAGGGGGAGGGAGGTGTCCCTCAGCCCAGCTTGCACCCTTTCCAATCTGGGACCCCTCGAGGGATGTCCGACTGCCCGGTAGAATCAGGCCTAAACGGCCAGTCAGACACCCCTCTCATAATCCAGGACTGCTGGCTCCCAACTGTTCACCTGCCTGCCTTCCTGATTGCCCCCTAACCACTCCCCTGCCAGCCTGATTGATGCCTAACTGCTCCCCTGCCAGCCTAATACCCCCTAACTGCCCTCCCCTGCAGGCCTGGTCAACCCTAACTGCCCTCCCCTGCAGGCCTGGGTCCCCCAGAAATGCCATTTCCTGCAGGCCCGGTCACCCCCAACTTCCCTCCTCTGCTGGCCTGGTCACTCCTAACTGCCCTCCCCTGTAGGCTTGATCGCCCCCAACTGTACTCCCTTGCAGGCCTGGTCCCTTCCAACTGCCCTCCCCTGCTGGCCATCTTGTGGTAACCATCTTGTGTCCACATGGGGGCAGCCATTTCATGTGTTGGAGTGATGGTCGATTTGCATATTACTCTTTTATTAGATAGGGTAGTACTGAAAGTCCTAGCCACAGTGATCAAACAAGAAGAAATAAAAGGCAACCAAGTTGGAAAGGAGGAATTATTTGCAGATGACATGATATTATACATAGAAAACCATAGACTGCAAAAACCCCCCCACTAGATTTAATAAATGAATTTAGCAATGTACCAGGACACAAAATAAATACCCCCAAATTGATGGCTTTTTAATACACCAAAAATGAGTTCTCAGAAAGAGAAACTAAACAAGCAATCACATTTACCACTGCAGAAAAAAAAAAAAAAAAAAACACAAACAAACAAAAACAAAACATTACATTCTTACAGATAAACTTAAGTGAAAGATTTGTACTTGGAAAACCACAGGACATTGAAAAAATAGATAGAGGAAGACATAAACAAGTTGAAAAATATATCATGTTCATGGATTGATAGAAGTAACATAATTAAAATGACCATACTACCAAAGGCAATCTACAGATTCAATGCAATTCCTATTATAATATCAACAGCATATTTAACAGATCTACAACAAATACTCCAAAAATTTATATGGAACCAAAATAGGCCCCAAAGAGCCACAGCAATCTTAAGAAACAAGAACAATTGGAAGAATCACAATATCAGATAGGAAATTATATTACAAAGCCAGCATAATCATCACAGCCAAGTACAGCCATAAAAGCAGGCATATAGATCAATGGAACAGAACAGTACTCCAGAAACCAACCCAAGACACTATGCTCCATTAATATTTGACAAAGGAGGCAAGAGCATACAATGGAGTCAAGACAGTTTCTTCTAT